GCAGAAATCGGGAAGATTAGGGTTTGGAGATGTTATTTAAAGAGTATAATCCAGTGAAATAAATTTGGAAAGAGGAAAAAAGGGACATGAAGAATTCAGAAGATTAGAATTTAGGAGAACACAGAGAGTGGATGCACCTGCGCCATTGCAAACGATTTTGAGCCATGTCATTCAGGGTCTCTAACCATCGGTTGTTATCATCTTGTGGTCCCCAACCAGGTAGTCTACACTTACCAACATGACTCAGTCCACTTGTCAGTGACTTCATGGACTTGTGCCATGTTTTGGTTTGGCCGCCCCTAGCTTTCTTCCAACCTACTCATATACCACTGAACATAGCACGTCGAGGCAGTCGGTTGTTGGGCATACGTAACACGTGTCCCAGCCATCTCAACTGATGAAGTTTCACTAGTACCTGTTTCCTAACAACTGCGTTACTTACTCGATGGTCCCATGATATACGAGCAATGTTTCGAAGACACCTATGATCAAATACTAGTAACCTGTGAATATCCTCTACTCTTACCGGCCACGTTTCACTGCCATAAAGAAGGACGGAACGAACTGCTGCTCAGTAATCACGTCCATTGGTTGATAGACGGATATCTCGCCTACGCCATAAATGACGCAAGTTGGCAAAAGCTAGTCGAGCCTTCTGTATCCGTGCTGAGATTTCGTCACACACCAGACCACAATGGCTGACGAGACTTCCAAGATAAGTGAAGCGGTCGACACACTCAATTACTTCACTCCCTATCACTAGTTCGGGTGTCGATGTAACCCAATCCTGAAGCAACATTTTGCATTTCGAGGGAGAGAATCGCATCCCGAACATGCTTGCATTGTTGCTTAGAGTGGTCAGAAGACTCTTATTTATTTATTTTAACACATAGATATTGGTACAAGAAAGCACCAAATACATATGCGCCACCGAAGCAGGTGGTTTTCTTAGGGGGCCACACCCCGAGCCTTTGACCTAGAGGTCTGATCCACAAGGCAGTGGAGCATCGTAAGGAGATGCAGTCCCATGATAGCCGGTGACCAACGATTGGTTCATACGCCATTTATTCCCGCAGGATACTGGAGCCCATGTGCACCATCAGTTTGGAATCCGGTTAAAGCGCCGGACATTCGCTTTTCGTCCTCTCATTTTTGTAAATAACACCCCCGCCACGAGAAGGCAGTGAGTAGGACTTCCCTGGCAGAGGCTATGTACGCGTGGCCATGTGAGAGCATTTCGAGAGGGAGAGCGGACTTTCCCCACTCTCGGCCGTACCAGGGCCGAAGAAGACTCTGCATTTTGTCAGCGTCTTCACCAAATAAAGCTATGTCATCTGCATATTCTAAGTCAACAAGTGAACCTCCTGGTACAAGTTCAACCCTTGGAAATTTAGATGAGGAGAGTGTTATCTCTAAAGGTACGTCGACCACAAAGTTGAACAAGAATGGGGAGAGTGGACAGCCCTGACGAACACCACTTGAGGTAATCAATTCTGATGACAGTTCGCCATAAGCTCTCACTCTACCAGTTGTGTTCGAGCAGAGAGCCTTTATAAGGTTAATGTACTTCTTTGGTACTCCTTTCAGTGGCAAACACTGCCATAGAACCTCACGGTCAACAGAGTCGAATGCCGCCTTAGGGTCGAGAAATACTACCATTGTGGGGCGTCTGAATGTGTGTCTGTGTTCTATAACCTGACGTAGTGTGAATATCTGATCTATACAACCACGTCCAGGTCGAAAACCGGTTTGGTTTTCTCTAATCTGCTCTTCACGAGCTTTGATTAGGCGTCGAAGTATTATTGAAGCTAATATTTTAGACACTATATTAGTCAAACTGATTCCTCTGTGATTGTCACAAGAGGACTTTTGTCCTTTCTTATAGACTGGCACAATCAGTGATTGAGACCAGTCAGATGGGATTACGTCCAGTTCCCAAATTCTACCTAAGACCTCAGTTAATCTCATTGCTAATACTGGACCACCATCCTTAAAAATCTCAGGAGTAAACCTGTCACGGCCTGCTGCTCTCCCTCGCTTCAGATTTCCTATGGCTTTTTCAACTTCGTAAAGGGACGGAGGACCTACATTAACTTGCCATTCAGGTTGACTAGAGATCGTGGGAAACTGAAGTGTGGCTGAAGGTCAGTTGAACTGATCCCTAAAGTGTTCTGCCCATCGATCCAATCTCCTCGACTGAGAATGTATAATATGTCCATCTTTCTCTGAGATTGTTTCGCTAACAGTCGGGTTCCTAATACTGGTTTCCTTAACGAGTCTGAACAATTGTCTGCTATTACCTATTGCCGCTACCTTTTCCATCTCTCTTGCTTTCGCTACCCACCACTGTTCGCGATCATTGCGTAGACTTCTTGTCAGCTTGTGCTTAAGCTGACTCCGCTCTTCATTATGTTCAGAGCCAGGTGGAATGAGTTTCCGAGCATCTATCAGTGCGATAGATGCTGCTGAGATCCAGTGTTGCTCCCTAACCTTCTGGTTTACCTTACTAGCAGATATCACTGCTGTTTCCACAGCTTTTCTGATATCATTCCATGCTGCATCGGGGTGGGCATCACATATATGGCTGCCTAACTGTTTTCCTAGTTGTTCCTGAAATATACTCTTAGCTTGACTATCATTAAGTAGGCCCCTAAGAGGTTTACTTGCAGCGTCTTTCCTACGTCCAGTAAGACGCAAGCAAATACGCGCTCGCACTAGAGCATGATCTGAATCTAAGCATGTGCTCCAGAATGAGCGACAGTCTTCTATCGAGCCCCTCCATCGGTGTCTGATAGCGATGTGATCTATTTGGGTCCAACGTTGGGACGAATTAGGGGGTCGCCATGTTAAAAGATGTTTTTCCTTATGTTTAAAGTTAGTGTTTGCAAGGAACAGGCGGTTATCTGAGCATAGCTGCAACAGACGGTCGCCATTATCTGTTCTTTGAGCCACGACACCAATAAGATCCACCTAGGTGTCTTTCCCTATCGCTTAGTTTACCTACTTGAGCATTAAAGTCACCGGCCACTATTACTACATCCGAGCGCTTAGCTTTTCGGAGAAGGTCCGAAAGCTTTCTGTAAAACTCATCTTTTACATCATCTGCGCTGCAGTCTGTGGGAGAATAGGCAGAGACGACGAGTGTCCCTATCTTTTCGGATCCTTACTGTTCTGTTCAGTCGGACAGCGCACAAACGACTGTCTACTGGGATCCACTCTAAGAGAGCTAGTTCTGCCCTAGGACTCAATGCTATACTTACGCCGGCGAGGCCACGAGAAGCACAATCAGGGCTTCCAGATACACGAAGCGTAAATCGAGTCGGTTCTTTATTTTGGCATGGTGAGGTCAAATGAATGACGCTACTTGGATCCTGTGTGCGCGTTTCGGAGACGCAGCACACATCGATGGCGCGAGATTCTAAAGTCCTAGCTAAGGAAACCTGCTGTCCTATTTGGCAAAGTGTTAGTACGTTAAAAGCTCCTACGTGTAGTTTAGAGCGTGGTTTCAGGAGACCAGGAATGGCGTTCCACGTACTCGAATCGTTTGCCCTAGCGGTGCGAGGTGATAAAGAGACGTGAGGAGGGTTAGTCGGGGAGATAAGAGGTATTAGGAGGTGTAGGAAGGATTTGAATGTGACCAATTTGGTCTCGTGTGCTGTTACGGGTATGAGGGCTGATGTCACTTCCCGGCTGCCCACACCATGGAAGGGTATTTCTTGAGGAACCTGAAAAGGAAATTGGATTAGTGTTGCTCTTAACGACCTGGGAGCGTGACCGTAGAGCCCAAGGGACAACTACTTGAGGCCGGTCGCGCACGGCCTTTTTGTGGAAGGTTTCTGACGTGTTAGCTCCGTTCTTCAAAGGGCCTAACCGCCGGAGACGGAAATCCGTGAGGTAGGGTGAGGTGTTCATTTTTAGGGTCGACCTTTTCTAACCCCACCCCTCCTTGTGGGAAGGCAGCATAGTTGTCATGCTGGTTGTCTGAAGGAAACACCTTACTGCTGTCACATCTCTGTACAGTCAGCAGTACGACTTCGCCTTCGGACCTTGGGTTTGTTGCTTTTAGTCTTACCGCTCTTCAACCGACCTGTCTGACATGGTAGGACCTTGAGGAACAATTGTTCCAGCCAGTATAGCTCGGTTGCTTCATCATGATAGGCAAGCCCGACCACCACGTCAAGGTAGCAACAACGGTCTTATTTTAGTATTAATCTGCCCAAAATCTTAGGCAAACCATACGGAGTAAAATGTGTATGCGTGTTGGCTCTTCACCTGTCGTAGAAATCTCACTTGTATAAGTGAGTTCATCTTCCGCCTGTCAAACCGTGATTACACTGTAGCAATAATTTGCTTTGTATTACCTCAGCTCCTCAGTTGTTTTTGACTGACTGATTGATAGATTCGAACATGATTGATCAAAGAGTTTAGATTGACAATAAACGACAGAAAATGGATGTAGCGATGTTACTTACTTACGCCTGTTACTCCTAATGGAGCATATGCCGCAAACCAGCATTCTCCAACCCACTCTGTCCTGGGCCTTCTTTTTTAATTCCATTCAATTTATATTCATTTTTCTCATGTTTATCTCCATTTCCTGGCGTAATGTGTTCTTTGGTCTTCCTCTTTTCCTTTGGCCTTGAGGATTCCATGTGAGGGCTTGCCTTGTGACGCAGTTGGATGCCTTCCTCAATTTCTGTTCTATCCACTTCCAGCGCTTCTTCCTCCGCTGGGATCTGGTTTCTTTTCACCCACAGTAGGTTGTTGCTAATAGTGTCCGGCCAACGGATCCGAAGTATTTTGCGTAGACAACTGTTAATAAACACCTGTATCTTCTGGATGATGGCATGTAGCGATGTTAGATTACTAATATTTTTGTACATATCAATTAGGTTTTTGTTAAACACTTGCAATATATCAATATCAATGTCACCACCCACAGAACAGGTACTATTGCTTATTATCTCAACTGTTTGACAAAAAAAACACAAGAATTCCATGAAACAGAATGTAGTTTTATTGATAAAACGAATGGATCCAACTATTCTAAAACAAAGTGGGAAATATACATAGTAATCAAATAAATCATAAGAAATAAATCTCTTGAAGATTTTAAGTTGACTTAAATTGTATTTGAGGAAAGAGTAGGAAACTTGAGAAAACTATCAGTTTGATGTAAATGCGCGCTCATATATTACAAAGAAGACAGAACAATATAGGATAGAGGTAACATACAGTGGATAAGATTATGATTGATTCATATCGGCATTCGTAACGAAGGAATTGCTGTCTTCTACAGGCTTCGATGGAATAGTAATCACATTTCTCGAACGTATTGGTACACGATCAATGTGATTACGATTGAAATGAAATGCTGGAACTACCCATGTGCCACATACACATGGTTCGCCTAAATAAATAAATGAAAATAAAGTTTTGTTTTGAATATATATACATATATCATGAAAAACTTGGTATATTCGTTTAGTACACCTTTTAAACAATTTGGTTTAAATCTTCTGTTGTAAAGGTATTATATGTGAAAACGACAAGACATCAAATAGGTTTGAAAAGTGGAAAATATGGTACATTCATCCAGTTGATAAACAATGGGTTAAAGACTTAGGTAGACTTATTGATAAAAACAAATTATTTTCCCACACATAGGTGTACGAGTTTCTTGAGGGTTAGGGGTCTTATAAATTTAAGAGCTAGTCTCTGACATCTTGCGTAAAGAAATTATGGAGTTTGCTTCGAATTAATCTTTGTGAACAACAAATTCGAGAAAATCACGGAGGCTTCGGATATGGATTAGAGTGTTTTGATCAAGTATTCAACTTTTATGAAGTTGTAGAACAAAGGTCTAATTTCTGACATCTAACAATAGTGGCATTTCCTCACCTGAAGGCAGCATCTGATTCCATCGACTGATGAATTGTGTAGCAAGCTTTCTGACTAAAATGTTGGCTAAAAAAGTACATAAACTTTGTGAAAGTTATTTAGTTGAACAAATCCAAATCCGTAAAATTATATGTTCTTCAAGACTCCCAATTATATTCATATTTATGAAACTTCTGCAAAGATATTATATTAATAATAATACTTTATATCTCTAACTTATAAAAAACTATTCTAATTAACGAAAGATTTAATTAGCGACTTGTAATACGCAGACGATATCACTCTGATAGGAAAAGACCCAGACAAAATCAAGTCTTTTGATAGCCCATACAATGCAAGTTGTTTAGGATTAGTTCCTCTCCTGGTAAATTCGAACTCCTGCTTAGAACTAATCTGAGTCAGAGCGTAAAATAACCGTGAGGGGTGAAGCAGTCGAGCGATGACTATTTTACTAATCTTGAAAGTCTAAGCAACCCTAACAGGTTAACATCTGATACAATCTGAGCACGGATTCAAAGTTCCCCGCAGTTTTTAATAACCTACGTCACATTTGACGTAAGCAGGATGATCGGATGGAAAATGAGGAGAGAGCATAGTGCACAACAATCCTCTCTAGAATAATATATTGGCTGCTAAGTATGATTTATGGGAATAGAACAAATGAGTATACTACAGGCTTTTAACTATAAGTGTCTTCTAAGTATTACTTCCGTATCTCAGAAAAAACTGAGTGAACAATACTGGGGTCAAATTCACAGTACTGAACGAATGTAGCAAATCTTTTGCTGAGGCTATGGATGGAACATGTTACGTACACCAAATATTACCTAGTTGGTTAAAAGATGTTGGCTGACGTAGTGGAAGATTGGAAGTTATGGCGGCCAAACCAAGACGTAGTATCAGTCCATGAAATCAATGATTGTTGGGGACCTATGTTAATAGATCCAGACACTACTTGGTTAAGGTTCGCACAAATAATTTGATTAATGTTTGGAAACATTGGGTGACATGGCGTAGAACACGTAACAGTGGCCCAGTTGCATTTATTCATTAAGTTGCTCCAAATCTTGAGTTAAGTATTACCTCCGACTTTCTACCTTTTGATAGCTTTTGTTTTTTAACTGTATTTATTATATTTAGCGTTCCGTCACAATCGATATAATCTTCTACCACCTGCTCATCATCTTGTTTATTTAGCCGCCATGTCCTGATATGAAATGTGGCAACTTGTATAAATGCACACTTGTGACACGTCACACGTCGATAATGGCTATCTGACTGAAGCCATAATTCGATTACTTCCTAATACGAATTAGTGTACACACCCATTTGGACTGACTCAACTATTTGTGTGATCATACGCAACGTAGAACCTGGCATCGATTTAAGTTGTTACCAAGATAGAATTAGTGATAGTAATAGTATCAGTGACATTAAAGATGCACTAGACAAAGATAATACGATTTCAGAAGAATGAATTTAGAAGATAAAAGATACAAGGTAACTATGGAGCTCATGGTCTAAGGGAAGACAAACAGAGAATGTATATGCGCCATTAAGACCGATTATGAGCGATGTCACTAAAACGTCTCAATCTCTATTCACGATAATTCGTTTTGTACTGGCTGTTTGAATCTTCCTATTGATGTTTAGGACTGCAATTAACTAGTTTCGTATTGGCATATGTGCGCCCTGTGTGTCTTAACTCGATACTGCCTTGAATCACAAGCATTATAAGCAGAGATGGATGGACGCTAGCAGTAGAATTCAGGACGTGCGTTTCGTCCCAGTACCACTCACTTCAAATGCCATTGCGTTATCCACCTAACTACTGAGTCCTGATAGCCACCTGCTTGCGCAATGGGGTGAGGTTTAAATTCATTTAGTACTGTTTGCTTGTATCTTCCCATTGTTGTTTAGAGACTTCAATTAATCAGTCTGTTGTTGGCATATGTGCATTCTGTGCGGACTGCCACGATATTGCCCTAAGTCATAAGCTTTATAAGCAGAGATGGATGGTGGTCAGCAGTGGTATCTAGCTGACGAGTCCCAAATAGGACAAAACGTACGTTCTGGATTCCACTGCTAGCCACCATCCATCTCTCCCTATCAGTCAAAATAACTGTGCAAACCCCACTCAGCCAGGTAACTTGCACCTACCAGCATGACATCTGTCTGATGATGATGTTTAGGGGGAAAGCATGGGTTTTACTCCTTCAGTAATGACGAATTTGGCTGTATGGTACATTTTAATGATAAATAGCTTGAACATTGGCTTCAGAAATAGTGTAGCATTAGACTTTTCTGTGTGATGGTATGATGAGATAGCTTATTTGAAGGACAAGAGAAAATTGGTTCAAATGATAACCGTCTTTTGCAAACAGTAATAAAATTTAAGTCACATTTTGACTTCATCAATTATTCTCCTATAACCCTGACTTTTTAAAAACGTGTATGTATATCACTTAATCTATTATTCATTAAATGTTTTTAGTTTATGTTTCTCTGATCACAAATATTTATTTTTATTTGAACACATAAATATTAATATAAAGGGGCACCAAATACACATGCACCACACGATAACAATGAAGTTGTGAAGAGATAGAGAATGTAAAGTGCATATAAGAAAGAGGAGAACAATAAAGAACAGAAATCAGTATATGAAAGTAAAATAATAATAACGGGAGAAACAGTTCAATTAGGAAAAGTACAGCCAGAGAGAATTCTTCCAGTTAAAGAAGTTACGTCCATTTTTAAAAAAAAGCAAAATGAAGTTACAGTAGGATTGATACTGGCTCCTATTCTGAGTCATGTCTGATAACGTCTCTAGCCACTCTGTTGCAATAAATCTGAGACCCCAACCAGGGAGTTGTGAAGGACCAACAGAAGCCAGTCCTGTATAGCTTTCTTTCACACCACGACATCATTTCATACACTAAACAACTCTGCTTTTTCCAACCAGTCCCAGCATCGGCAAATAATGCATCACGTGGAATCCTGTGGGACGACATTTGTAGAACATGTCCGAACCACCGAAATCGATGTTTCAAGAAAGTGACACTAATTGAATTGTCGTCGCTGTACACGAACACACGATGTCTAACTTCTGCATTAATAATATGGTGTTCTCACTGGATGTCAACAATCCTTCGGCAACAACAATGACCATACACGCAAAGGTCAGGTTTCACAAGCACAGAACAAGACTGTTCTCACCGAAGCGTTGTCCATCCGACCATTTACAGCCAAACTAACATCATGAAAGTGCTAAAGATGGCCCAGATTGGCATAAGCCGCTCTGGCTCTCACTATACGTGAATTGGTCTCATTACTCACACCACCACTCATTTATTTTATTTATTTATTTTATTTTAACACATAGATATTGGTACAAGGAGGCACCAAATACATATGCGCCACACAAATCTCATTTGATATGAGTGAGGGCTGTGATATTGCCTGAGTGACCAAACCGAACCAGGTGGATTTCTTATGGGGCCACACCCGGAGCCTTCGACCTGAAGGTCTGATCCACAAGGCAGTGGAGCACCGTAAGGTGAAGCAGTCCCATGGTAGCCGGTGACGAACAGTTGGTTCATACGCCATTTGTTTCTTCAGGATACTAGAGCCCACGTGCACCATTGGTTTGGAATCAGGGTTTTCCAACTCCCCTAAGTGGACTCTACATGTCCACCAACCCGGTTAAAGCGCCGGACATTCGCTTTTCATCCTCTCAATTTCGTCAACAACACCCCGCCACGAGAAGGCGATGAGTAGGACTTCCCTGGCAGAGGTTATATACGCGTAGCCATGTGAGAGCATTTCGAGAGGGAGAGTGGACTTTCCCCACTCTCGGCTGTACCAGGGCATCTAAGGGCCACAACTAGTAGCTGTGCAGCTACCCAGATACACCAACTTTTCGACTACTTCTATCTGCTCACTACCCAGGGTGAGAAAAGAATCAGTGTCCTGTCAGTCTTGTAAAAGTACATCGCACTTTGAAGGTGCAAAGCACATACCATGTCTACGGACACTTATTCCCAACTGAGTAAATGCGGATTGCATGGCTTGAGTATCATTGAACAGTAAAACAATATCATCCGCATACTCAAGGTCGAGAAGTCTTTCTCCAGGTAAGAGATCGACACCACCATTACCTACAGCTATCACAGGTGTTTCCATAAACCAGGACATTACACTAACTTATGGGATTACTCACTGCTGTTTCGAGATACGCATGGAAGTGTAAAATTCCTGAGGTGAGAGCTTTGAATAACAGAAATTAAATGATCCAGAACTCAGTATCCTGAGCAAACATCGACGATTTTCTTTAAAACGTTGAACGCTTTATGCGTTTTTTTTCGCTTTAGCTTTACGGATGTTTTTAATCTATTTGAATTTCTTTCATACTGCTAGGCTGTTAAACAAATAAAGTTCCTCCGACCGATCCACTTTTGTGCAATATTTGTTCTCACAAGGGTAATGCCATCAGACATTAGTAATTAAGGCCGTTCGTATTGATGGTAAATAACTTTCTGTTTTGACTATCTTCAGCTATTTTAAACATACCACTACATCGGTAAATACTGAAAATCAGAATGACAAACAAATTACCAGACACTTCAGCTTGCACAAGCTAATCACATCACTCATATATTTATTTATTTAAACACATAAACATTGGTGCAAGGAGGCACCAAATAGATATGCGCCACAATAATCGCTCGCCATACAACTAACATGTTTTTCCCACTAGTACTCTGTGCTTAGTCACAATCGCTTTCAGTAAACACTTACCTCAAGTGTGTGAAAAACAAACATTAAATTAATTTAATAGTTTTCCCAATTAAATTAATAAATTTTATTAGTAAAACAAGCTTACCACACCAATTGAAAGAGCCAACTTTAGCGTTGCATCCAGGACAATAAAGCTAAAATGTGATAAAGAAATGTACAAAAGCACATAAATTCAGCTTCCTGTTAGTATTTGTATGAATAGTGTTTATGACACTATTCAGCTGCCAGAATCGAGGAAAATGGTGAGATTTGAACAAGCGAAATACAGCTCCATTAGAATGCATGGAGCCCCTATTATAGGTTACATATTATCCCGACTAAATTTATTATAAGAACTAACAAAGCTAAAGGCGAAATGAGTTGAAGAACTAATACTATTGCATAGTGCCTAACACTGAGAATTAGCTAGATTCACTGAGTACGCGCCTATATTTCAATTAAAAAAGTAATAACATACGAAAGTCTGGTAAAATATAATACCAAAAAATGCACACACCACTGGACTAGGAATTCTATTTAATGGATTAAACAACACAATTCAGCAACCAGTCAGCAGTGGTCCTGAGTGCTGTTAAAGGTATGAGGGCGGTTATCACTTCCCGGTTGCCCACACCGTGAAAGGGTTCTTCTAGAGGAACCTGAGAAGGAAATTGGATTAGAGGAGGTCTTAGTGACCTGAGAACATGACCGCGGTGCCCAAGGGACAACTGCTTGAGGCCGGTCCTACATGACATTTTGTAAGTAATTTTCGTGTTAGCTCCGTACTTTTTGAAACCTTACCGCCGTAGACGAACATCCATGAGATAAGCTGGGGTGTGCATTTCTAGAGTAGACCATTTCTAACTCTCCCCCTTCTTGTGGGAAGGCAGCATCGCTGTTATGCTGGTTGTCTGAAGGAAACACCTTGCTGCCGTCACACCTCTGTACAGACAGCAGTACTACTTCACCCTCAGACCTTGGGTTTGCTGTTTTTAGTCTTATCACTCTTTAACCGACCTGTCTGGCATGGTAGGACCTTGAGGAACGACTCTCCCAGAAAGTATAGCTCAATAGGTTCATCACGACAGGCAAGCCCGACTACCACGTCAAGGCAGCAACAACGGTCGGGCAGAGGCTTAGACTGGGACTATGGTCTAATTTGAGGACGTATCTGTCTGTCTTACTGAATGCAGAAAAGTCACTGCAAAAAACCTCTTACAGTCTAACTCAATCATAAAAAAGTGAAGAATACATTTCAGGAACGACTAGAGAAGGAGCTAGTCAATCGTGAAAATTATATCTAACCCGATGTAACTTGGCATGATATCCAACAAGCTATGGGAACAGCAGTGATATCTACTAGTTACTGAAACCAAAGGTTAAGAAAAACCAATGGGTTTCAGCAGCATCTACGGAACTGATAGATACTTGTAAACTCATCCTGTCTGGCTTCAAACACGATGAAGAATGGAGGCAGCTTAAACGTTGCTTGACAAAAATCCTACTCAATGATCTTGAGCAGTGGTGATTTGTGAAAACAGAAGAGATGGGAAAGGCAGCTGCGATAAGTAACAGCAATCAACTGCTCAGAACTATCAAGGAAATGAGTAGTAAAAATACAGCCGTTGGTGAAACTATCTCAGTAAAAGACGGGACTAATATTCACTGTCAATCCTGGAGATCGGACTGATAGACAGAACACTTTGGGGAACAGTTCAACTGGCCTCCAACCACACTTTAATTACTTACTATCCCAAAGCAAGCTGAATAGCAAATAGACGTATGTCCTACAACTCTTGGTGAGGTTGATAAGGCTATAGGCAATCTAAAGCGAAAGAGAGCAGCAGGGCCTGATGGACTAACCCCTTAGATTTTTAAGGATGATGGCCCAGTTCTAGCAGTTACATTAACTGAGATCTTAGCTAAAATCTGGAAATTGCACGTAATTCAACGCAATCGGTCTTGGTCGCTGATCGTTATTCTATAAGAGAGCACAAAAGTCGTCTTATGGCAATCACAGAGCAAACAGTTTAAATAATTCAGTGTCTAAAATATTAGTCTCTATAATACTTCCACATCTAACTAGAACTCTTGAAAAGCAAACCCGAGTAAACCAGGCTGGTTTAACTGTCATAGATATGCCTTTAGAAACAATATTATCATCGTTCGATTATTCAGGGGTTGATCTACCACAAGATTCACTTACTCACTTGGAATGTCCAGAAGATATAGTTGTGTTTGGTGAAGACGCTAGAAAAATTCAGTCTTCTGACCATCTTAAAACACAATGTAAGCATGTTTGAGATGCAGTCCTCTCCTGCCAAGTGCAAAATGTTGCTTTGCGATTGGCTTGCGTCATCACCCGGATTAATCAATATGAGTGGGGCAGCTGAACGCATCGTCAACTCCACTTATCTTGGGCGTCTCCTCAATCATGATGATCTGATGACTGACGAAATCTTCACATACACTGACCATCCGACTGGCTTTTACCAACTTGCATCACTTGTGGTGCAAGTGACATCATTTTGTTCTACTTCATGAGTGTGAAACATGACCATTAGTAATAGAGGATATTCGTAGGTTACTAGTATTCCATCATAGATGTCTTCGAAGCATTGCTCATGTGTGTTGAGATCACAGACTAAGTAATGCATGGACTAGGAATAAACTGCCATCAGGTAATGAATCTATATCAACTGAGGTGGTTGGGACATTCGTTACGTAAGCTTAACTATGGCCTACCTCAACGAGCGATGTTGTTTGGTGTAGAAACAGGCTGGAACAAAGCTAAGAGCGTCCAAACCCAAACATAACGTCAGTCCATGATGTCACTAACAGTCAGTCAGCTACAACGTAGCACCAGGCACATATATGCACCGGTCCAAGTTGTCATACCGCATTAGCACAACAACATGAACACCGGATTCATAGAATCAGTTAACTCAATGGTGTAATATATAAAAGATCTTATGTAAGAATATAGTACAGAAAAAAAGAATTGGTTCGTAGAAGGAAAGATATAAAACGATTTTAATCTCTTAGTTTAAGGGAAGACAGGGAGTGTATATACCTACGCCATTGTCACCGATTTTGAGCTATGTCACTCAGAATCTCCAACCATTCGTTACGATACTCACGCGGACCCCAACCAAGTAGTCTGCATCTACCAACATGGCTAAGATTAGAAATTAGTGACTTGTTTGAAGTCACTAACAATTGGACTGAGCCATGTTAATAGGTAGAGACTACCTGGATGGTGTCCGTGTGATCATGCAACCAATCGTTAGAGACTTTGAATAATATGGCTTAAAATCATTCGCCATAGCGCAGGTGCATCCATTCTTTGTATTCTCCTAAATCCTGAGATTATAAACTCTTCATAACTGCTTCTGCTTTTATTTCACCAATTTATATTTTCTTTCCGAGTCGTGTCTTCGATGTCTAATATTTCTTGTTGCCGCTGATACCGTTACTACCTCTACTATTCTGGGATAAAACATGACAATATAATCCATCTGTGCTAATAGGGTATAGCAACTTGAATCGATGTACATAAGTGTCAGGTTCTATGCTTTAACTGGTTGCCTAATACTACAAAGACAATGTACCATGGCCGAAATATCTGTTAAAGATGGTTCAAAGTATAAATACTCTGGAGGAATAGCAAACAAACTAATGTTAAAACTAGTGGTTTACAAAACTCCATATTCCTCAACAGCGAAATAACGGGATTGCATACCTTTCCTTGAACATCACTAGTACTGTGCAATGTCCATTCCAATGGGTCACAGAACAATTCATTTTTATCACATTGTAAAGGAGAGTTATTTAATGAAACACCTTTGATTAGGACACTAGATACGTTATCAGTGTTCTTGAATTTTGTAGAATTTATAAGAGGATTAGGTGTTGTCTCCGGTTTTTGATGAATGCGTAACTGATTCGAATTGAATAACACTTGTCTACAAGGATAAATTCATATTTTGAAAAAATCGTATTTATTTTTTTAAAGGACAGAAACCTGCATTTTTTACATCTAAAACTTGAAGGTGTGTTGTGCAACTGATAGACTGTTTGACTTTCTAAAAGATCACCATTATAATCTATTAAAAAGAGGGATTAGAAATAGCACTTATAAACAACAAACCCGTAAAAACTGAGAAGGTTCTTTTCGTCATATATTGTTGAAATAATGGAGAATCACGGTTGACCGTCCACTTCATAGTATGAAACAACTTTAACTGATTAATAAATCCATTATTGGGACTAAATATTAATAGAAATCAACCATAAAACATTCAATCAGTAAAACCGTAATTACAAAATACTCCGTTTCCTTGAAACAATATTATAAGCCTCTTCATAGGATAAATGATTTCGACGCATCAGGTAGGCGATTACAACACTGGCGCTGCGAGATACACCCATAGCACTATACTCCGTTCACCCGTTTTTAATTTTAAAAAACTAGACCACTATGTATTTACTCCGCTTACCAGTGAACCAAAATATTTGAGTTATTTTTTATACTTTCATCAATAAAACTTAAAGCATCTTCAAGAATTTCCAGCAAATCCTGGGATGGCTCGTCACGCAGATATAAGAACTTCATGTTAAATCCTTTGAATACATTGCAGTCTAATGGCAGGATATCTAATGTTAAAATTGACATTATTCCATTTCTTTTTAAGACTGAAATATTTTCTGCAAATGGCATAGGTCCAAGCCATAGACCTGGGATAATCTCATCCATATTTATTATCAATCACTAAAAAAAGACCATAACGAGTACAAAAGATGATTTAAAATTCAACGGAATCTAGGAAATTCAGAAATCATTTATTATGCATACATTAGAGCGAAAAAAATCTGAAGCTGTGTAGTCAGTTTCATTACTAACACTAATCATATTATAAATTGATTTGAATTATTATTCTGGTTATGGTTATGGTCTGAATGATGCACTACTACACTTAGGTTTAAATTTAAGCAAATTATAGCTCTCACAAGTCATTCAAAAGCTAGTTATTATAATTTCGAAGCCTCGGTGTACCTGAAGTAGAAGACATTATTTTAAACAAATAACTTCCGGAAATTACTCATTTTTGATGGAGGCATGTTAATGACTCAGGAGAATTAGTACAAGAGGTACGGACTCATTTCCGGGAGTTATACAACCAAGTAACAACCATTTATACCCTGAACAGTCCCCAAAAAGAAGCACAGTCATCCCTGGACAGGCCGGGATATTCGACGTTTACTATGACAAAAGAAGAAATGTTGGAACATCGCCATCAACCTTGGCAAAGCAAGTACAGTGGAATGCTACAAGTCGGTACGAAATACATGTATAATTACAGTCCGTGAAGCTCATACATAAAACAGGACCAAGACGACTTCCATCAAAATACAGACCTGTCAGCCTCACCAGTGTCATAATTAAAATATTGGGAAGAAAAGTCAACAAGGTCATAATGATAATCTTGGAAACCAACAACTTGTTAAACAGTGAGCAACATGATTTCAGAAAAGTTTTATCTTGCACAACAGACCTCAAAGCAAGGGAGCAATGGATAGAGGCACTAGACAATAGAAAATCAGTGTGAGTAGTCTACATAGACTTCAGTAGAGCGTTTGATAAGGTGCCACTAAATAGACAGTTCTTGAAGCCGAAATATCTAGGCAGTGTCGGACCTCTCCTAAAATGGCTTATGGATTTCTTGGTAGGTCGTAGACAGTAAGAATAAATTTCAAGTGTTCCATCCGGAAACCAGTACTTAGTTGAGTACCACAAGGCTGTCTTATGTCCTTTAATTTTTATACGATATGTAAGTGAACTGCCAAATATAGTTGGGTCCCCAATGCTGCTATACGCCGACTCAAAAATCTGGCGGGAAATAACAAGAAACGCAGATGCATGCGCACTTTAGGCAGGCTTAGATATTCTGATTAGCTGGTCTAAAAATAGCTGGTGTGGCCAAGTGTGTCTACATGCACTTTGGGGATACAAAGGTAAATAGATACATCATAGAAGTGCCTATACCCGTAGTCCGGTCTCACAAGGATCTTGTGGTGACAGTGAGTTATGAACTTAAGACCACGGCCCACTGCTGCGATATTAAAGCTAAAAAGTTTAGAACCCTCGGGACTTTAAGACGGACATTCACCAAGTTAGACACTACTATGTTCACTACAGTATAAAAACCCTTAATGAGAACTAAGCTTCAAAACTGCATTGGCGCCGCAAACCCGTTTAAAAGGTGACTCGAATATTCCGGAAAACGTACAGAGGGCAGCTACTCGTGCAATTCCAGGGTTTACCATACAAAGAGAGGTTTGAAAAGCTGGGTCTATTTACTCTGTCCTATTGCAGATTAAGAGGTGATCTGATCTTAACATATAGAATATCAAAAAAAGATTTTGGACCTAATATATACTGTCTTCTTCTTCCCGCTAGATAGGGACATTTAAGAGGGTATCGTAGGCGAGTAGAAAAGCCAAGAACGAACAAAATACCCGTGGCATACACGTTTTCACAGTCATCAATTCTTGGAACCTGTTACCCGAAGCAGCGGTGTCCGCACCTTCAATTGACTCTTTCAAGAAAAGACTAGACACTCACAGAAACATGCTAGAAAAGGAAAAACCATACGCCATATGCCTTCTGTCCTTACTACACAAATCTAAATCTGAAGAACGGAAACCTACTCTGAGTTCATTAGATCTAGATTTTCGGACCATCGTGCTATGGCATCAAAAATTATTAGTACTGAAGGGAGCACAAAACTAAGATATATTAACACTAAAATCGTTATTAAACATATGGAACGCCCATATTAAGTCACCACATTTGAAGCGACCGTCGTGAAGGAGTTCGGAAAGATCCTTCACTAACCTTGTTTTCAAACGCTGAACAAGATCAAGCGAGTCGGTATCCTTAATAAGAAATGAACCAGCTGTTTGGGTACAGTACCCAACCCGACCGTTGTTGCTATCTTGACGTGGTGGTCGGGTTTGTCTATCGTGATGAAGGAACCGAGCTATACTGACTGGAACAATTGTTCCTCAAGGTCCTATCACGTCAGAAAGGTCGGTTGAAGAGCGGTAAGACTAAAAGCAACAAACCCAAGGTCCGAAGGCGAAGTCGTACTGCTGACTGTACAGAGGTGTGACAGCAGTAAGGTGTTTCCTTCAGACAACCAGCATGACAACGATGCTGCCTTCCCACAAGGAGGGGTGGGGTTAGAAAAGGTCGACCCTAAAAACGCACACCTCACGGATATCCGTCTCCGGCGGTAAGGTCTCAATAAGTACGGAGCTAACACAAAAACTGCCCATAAAAAGGTCGTGTGTGACCGACCTCAAGCAGTTGTCCCTTAGGCACTGCGGTCACGCTTTCAGGTCACTAAGACCACTTTTAATTCGATTCCCTTTTCAGGTACCTCCAGAAGAACCCTTACACGGTGTGGGCAACCGGGAAGTGATAACCGCCCTCATACCTCTAACAGCACCCAAGATCACTGTATTCATAATCAACCTTCCTCTTCAATTCCTATTATTCTTCCTACATCGACTTTCAACTCCTCAAGTGTCACCATAGCCAACGATTCTAGTGCTCAAAACACTGTCCCAAGTCTATTGAAACCTCGCTCCACACTACACATTGGAGCTTTCAACGTACGCATCCTATGTCAAATCGGTCAGCAGGCTTCCTTGGCTAAAACCCTAGAGTCTCTTTCCATTGATGTGTGCTGTGTCTCCGAAACACACATACAGGATTCCAGTGTGGTCATTCACTTGACCTGACCTCGGCAAAACGGAGAGCCAACGAGATACACTCTACGTGTATCTGGTGACCCGATGGCCAGCTCTCGTGGACTGGCAGGAGTAGGGATAGCACTAAGCATGAGGGCCGAACAAGCACTGTTAGAGTGGATCCCCGTCAACAGTCGTCTATGTGCTGTTCGGCTAAACGGCTCCCTAAGAACTCGGAAGGATAGAGACACACGTTGCCTTTTTGTCGTTTCTGCCTACGCTCCCACTGACTGCAGCTCAGATTAAATGAAAGATGAATTTTACAGAAAGCTATCTGAACTTCTTCAGAAAGCTAAACGTTCAGACATAGTACTCGTAGCAGGTGACTTTAATGTTCAGATAGGTAGCTTAAACCTAACGCCCCCAAACGCCTTGGTATGGCCAAGAGCGGGGTGGGTTCGCCCTTCCTCTCGAAATACTCTCACACGGCCGCGCGTATACAGCCTCTGCCAGGGAAGTCCTACTCACTGCCTTCTCGTGGCGGGGGTGTTGTTTACGAAAATGAGAGGACGAAAAGCGAATGTCCGGCGCTTTAACCGGATTCCAAATCAATGGTGCACATGGGCACCAGTATCCTGCGGGAACAAATGGCGTATGAACCAATTTTCGGTCACCGGCTACCATGGGACTGCATCTCCTTACGACGCTCCACTGCCTTGTGGGTTAGACCTTTAGGTCAAAGGCTCGGGGTGTGGCCCCCTAAGAGAACCACCTGCTTCGGTCTGGGCACCCGGGCAGTAACGCAGCCCACACGCAATTAATGAACTGAAATTGTGTGGCGCATATATGTTTGGCACACTCCTGTACCAATATATATGTGTTCAAAAAAATAAATAAATAAGGTAGCTTAAACCAAACAGAAAGGCATTTAGGTGGATATTTTAGCATTCCGGCACAGCGAACAGATAATGGTGACCGTCTGCTGCAACTGTGCTCAGACAATCGCTTATTTTTAGCAAACACAAATTTTAAGCATAAGGAAAGACATCGTCTAACATGGCGACCCCCTACACCAAACCAACGATGGACTCAAATAAACTATATTGCCATCAGTCATCGTTGGAGAAGGTCGGTACAAGATTGTCGCTCATTCTGGAGTACCTGTTTGGACTCCAACCATGCCCTAATATGGGCACGCATCTGCTTGCGCCTCACTGGACGCAAAAAAAGCCACATTAAAAAGACCAGTTAGAACTGAGTTGAGTAACGAGAAAACCAAAAGTAGGTTCCAGGAACTACTGAGGTCACACTTAGGCAGTTCTGAAAACGAGGCTGACCCAGATGTTGCTTGGAAAGATATACAAACAGCTGTGGAAACAGCAATGAAATCTATTAGTGACTTAAACCACAGAGTTACAAAGAACCAGTGGATTTCTTCAAAGTCTATCACACTGATGGATTCTCGCAAACTCGTCCCATCAGGTTCCGAACATGATGAAGAGCGACAACAAATCAGACCTAGGTTAAGAAAAAGTCTAAGAAACGACCGTGAGCAGTGGTGGGCAACGAAAGCAAAAGAGATGGAAAAGGCGGCGACTATAGGGAGCACAAGACAGCTTTATTGACTAATAAAAGAAACCGGAACTAATAAGTCAAGTGTAAGTGAGATTATATCAGAGAAAGACGATACTCTCATCTACTCCCAGTCCAGACGTTTAGAACGATGGGCGGAGCACTTTAGGGAACAGTTTAGCAAGCCTTCAGCGACTCTACAACTACCTTCCATTCCCAGACAGTGTGAATGGAACATTGAAGTAGGTCCCCCAACTCTAGCAGAAGTTCAAAAGGCTATAGTTAATCTGAAACGAGGAAGGGCAGCTGGTCCAGATGGATTGGCTCCAGAGGTCTTTAAGGATGGTGGTCCAATTTTAGCGATTAGGTTGACTAATATTTTAGCTAAGATCTGGGAGTTAGACGTTATCCCATCTAACTGGTCACAATCACTTATTTATT